ACAAAGTTAAAAAAATAGCAATTAATTATAACCAAATTATCATAACAGTCATTAAAACAATACTCAATCCACAAACCCATTGATAAAACAATAAAACCGTATGGTCATATATATCTTCTTGCCAATCAATTTGCTTGTGTGCTTGTCAAAAGACTGAGTTGGAAGTCCCAACAAAACTGAATGTTTTGTCAAATGTTTTGTCTTTTTAACAGTTACTAACAAAATGTATACAGTTTTATGGGGATATAATATATCTTCTGTTGGTTGGTTTGCTATTGCAATTGTGAATTGAGGTTTTTATATGTTCTATTCTATTCATGTGAGGCAGTGGTTCACAACCGTCCTAATGTCGTGTCCTTAATACAGTTCCTATGGCGACCCCCAACCATAAAATTATTTTTGTTACTACTTCATTACTGTAATTTTGCTTCTGTTATGAATCATCATGTAAATATCTGTTATGTAGGATTGTATTTTCATTTTGCTACTGTTATGAATCATCATGTAAATATCTGTTATGCAGGATTGTATTTTCATTCACTGGACCAAATTTGACACAAATACCCATTATGCCCAAATTTGAACACCTACGAAGTTGAGAGGGATTGATTTTGTCATTTGGGAGTTGTAGTTGCTGGGGTTTGTAGTTAACCTACAATTAAAGAGCATTCTGAACTCCACCAATGATGGAATTGAACCAAACTTGGCACACATGTGCTCATGAAAACCAGGCAAGGAAATGGGTTTGTCTTCCTCTTGCTTTCGTGTCAAACTGATTTTTGAACCAGAAGTGGGTCTTCCCATTACGTGCTCCCAGAGGTAACAAAAGTAATGAAATAGTGGATGAAATAAAGGAAAACCGTTCCAGGCACAACCCTACTAATTAGATTGGAGGTCTCCCCAAGAGGATCTTCCTTATTCATATCTGAATACATTGAAGTTAATCCAGTTCGCTGATACCTGCCTCTTGTGTGTAGATGGTACAGACATGGCTATATGTCCATGAATATAGAAAAATCCAAATGGAGGGCACTACAAGGGATAATATATGAAAGAATATTGCAATGGATTCCTAAATCAGGAGTAATATTAAATTCATCTATATACATAAAAATGTAATTCTTGTTTGTGGGATTAACATAACTCAAAAACCACTGGACGAAAAGACCAAATTTGGACACAAGACACCTCTCAGGCCAATGAGTGACCATCACTCATAAAAAACACTGAAAAACACAGCAGAAGATACTTAAAAAGCCAAAAATACATTACAATGCATGACATCAGAAAAAAAGGGAAGGAGAGGGAAGGAAGGAAGGGGGAAAAGAAAGAAAGAAAGGAGGAAGGGAGAAGAATGGAAGCAAAGAGCAAAGGAAAGAGGTAGAGAAGGAAGAAAGGAGAGAAAGAGGAAAAGAAAAGGGGGAAGGAAAGAAAGGGGTAGAGAAGGAAGGAAGGAGAGAAGGAAAGAAAAAAGGAAAGGAAGGAAAGAAGGAGAGAAAGAGGGAGGGAAGGAAAGAAGAAAAGAGAGAAGGAAGGATGGAAGCAAAAAGCAAAGGAAGGATGGAAAGAAGAAGAGAAGAAAAGAAAAAGGGGGGAGGAAATGAAAGAGATAGAGAAGGAAGGAAGAAGAGAAGGAAAGAAAAAAGGAAAGGAAGGAAAGAAGGAGCAAAGGAAGGAGGGAAAGAGGTAGAGAAGGAAGAAAGGAAAGAAAGAGGGAGGGAAGGGAAGACAGAAGGAAGGATGAAAGCAAAAAGCAAAGGAAGGAAGGAAAGGCAGAGAAGGAAGAAAGGAGAGAAAGGGAAGGAAAAGAAAAAGGGAGAAAGGAAAGAGGTAGAGAAGGAAGGAACGAGAGAAAGAGGAAAAGAAAAGGGGGGAAGGAAAGAAAGGTGTAGAGAAGGAAGAAGAGAAGGAAAGGAAGGAAAGAAGGAGAGAGAGAGGGAAGGAAAGAGGAAAAGAGAGAAGGAAGGATGGAAACAAAAAGCAAAGGAAGGAAGGAAAGAGGTAGAGAAGAAAAGAAAAAGGGGGAAGGAAAGAAAGAGATAGAGGAGGAAGGAAGAAGAGAAGGAAAGAAAAAAAGAAAGGAAGGAAAGAGGGAGCAAAGGAAGGAGGAAAAGAG